AAAGTGACTTAGATTAACTATTTTGAAATAGCACTTACTGAAAAAAAACTTAACAATTTTTTAGTAATGATTTGTTGTTTCACTTTTTAAAAATAAAAAAAAATAGTCGCTTCATCATGCATTTTTAATTTTTTTTTTTTTTTTTTAACCCTGGTTAGAGATTCCGACAAATCAATTTTTTTTTCTAGATTACAATATAGTTTGTATCAGATCTTATGACGAAAATAATATTTTCGGGAATCTTTTTTTTAAATTTTATTTTTAGTACCAACCAAATTTGGTACAAGTTGAATCGGTTGTAACGTGAAGGAAAAAAAAAAAATCCTAATGGCTCTTTTGTGGCTAGGGAAGAAGACCTAGAGAAAACATTTTCATTTAAAAAAAAAAAACATTTTATTTAAAATTAAAACGAAATATATTCATCAATTCTAAATTTAGTAAATTCAGTTAGTCTAAAAAAATGTTAGGGTTTCAAACGACTTTTTAACGTACCAAACAATCTCTTTTTACAGCGTAACGTGTACCAGAGCACGTCGTAAATTTATTGAACAAGAGACTTAGACTCATCATAAAGAAACCCTCCTTAGGATGTATAAAAATTGAAATTTAATCAGAATTTGGAAACAAATGTTGAATTAAATGCAATAAATGGCTATTAATGACAAATGGATGGTAATAAAAACGAATTATTAAAATAAATGAAATGCAATAATTTATTTGTGTTAATTAATTACTGTTAAAAATAAGTTATTGCATTTTGAACGAACGACTTGTTTTAAAATTTAAAATGCTCAGAATGAGGAAAAATAAATACATTCTGTGTACAAAGGGAGATAAATCGGTGTCTGTATGAAACGCTAAAATAGACTATATGCCCGGGGCGAGGGGAGCGATACCTTTTTGGATTCGCTTTGTTGACTGTCATCAAATTTATTTAATGATTTATTTATTTTAGTAAATTAGTTTAAAATACATAAATTGAAAATGTTATTTTAAATTAAAATATTGATTTAAAATTTATTTATTTTTTTTTTTTTTTAAATGCAAATATTATTTTATTCCGAAGTCGAAGTAAATCTCTTTTGTGATTTTTCCCTTCAAAAAAAAAAAAAAGAAAGTGTTACGTTTCTTAAAACCTCACCTCTTTAGAGCTTCATGTCACTATTATTGTCACAGGAGAAAAGGGGGTGGTATATATATTTTTTAATTTCTCAGATTTTATACAATATTGCATACAACACTCACTAAACATGTCCTACATTTTTACTGGGAATATTTTTTATTTATTGATGGAACTTCATTCACAAAACTTTCACAAAAAAAATTGTCTGAAAAGTTGAAATCGTTCATGTCTTGTTACTTAATGCGTGACTATAAAATAAAGTACAGATTTAAACTGCAAACAACTTTTTAGTAATATTTAGTAATTATCATATTTCGAAATGTTGCAAATGAGAGGGTAATTTTATTTTTCCATTAATGTTTTTCAGATCGAAATTTATTTAAATAACACCACCTGCTTTTTAACTGGAATTGAAATTCAGTTTGTGAGAAGTTTTTATCAAAATCTCTAGTTAGGACACCAAAGTTAAATTTTTTGTTTTTTTTTGTCTTTTCATGAAACCCGAAAGTAAAACTAAAACATGTTTTTCGTCAATCCCATTTTGAGCCTTATTTATTTTTTAAATTCCAATAAAAAAAATAGTTGTAGGAAACTGAAAGGATAGCCTGGTTGTATGACGAGGATTCTTATTTAGATTTTTTCAATAGTTACAAAGATAAGATCAATCACATTTTTGTTACACAAAAAATTGAATAATACGGCGATTACTCTGTAATAATTTATTTATTACTATAATAATTGCCGTAGTTAAGTAATTCAATAAAAACTGTTTCACTTTCAAGTCACAAGGGACAGTTAGTTGTGACCTATTTCACTAAAAATGTCATTGCTACTGTCATTTCTCTCTCTCTCTCCTGTAACCCCCATAAAAATGTGGGCAGTACCTTAACAAATCTTGTAGGATGGGCAAAGATTTTTTTTGTTTTGTTCATGTTAAAAAAAAAAAAATCAACTGACGTTGTACATTTAGGAAGCAACAACCGATTTATTACTTTTTAAAAAAAAATTATCTCTTGTCTCTAAGTTGTTTCTATTATTTGCTTAGTAGAAAAAGAAAAAAGTACAACAAACAAAACAACAACAATGCATAACACTTGTGACTTATCTGAAGAGAAGACTGAAGTTAAACTTTTTTTTTTTTTTTGCTTTATTTGATAAACTTTATCTCGGATTCTCAAGGATTTATTTTAAGTGCATTTTTTTTTTTTTATTTAATTTAATTTTTTTTTTTTATTTTCCATTTTTTTAATTTCTTGAAACAGTCTGTACTAAAATTAGTTTGTGTGGCATAAACATTTGATTAGTTTGTTAGTGTCAATAAATTTTAACTTGCTATTTTATTTTTCATTGTATTGAAAACAATACCCTCTCCCCAAATTGGAGTAAATATCGTCCGGTTCACACACCGACCTGGTCTTTTCAATAGGTTTATCACGTTTCTTGTTTAGGATTGAGTTTCCAGTTTCTTTTTAAAGTCTTTTCATTTTATTTCACTCTCAGTAAGTAGCCCCTTGCTTAGGGCGAATTGATTTAAAAAAAAAAAAAAAAAAAAATAAAATAAAAATGCAGAAAAGCATTTTTTTTTAACAAAGTTGGTGTTTTTATGAAGTGTCGACAACTTTATCGGTTTGGGAAATTTTTTTTATAAGGATGACAAATGTAACTATTACTTGAGGAATATAACGTGAACGCCTTTTTTTATATATAATATATATATATATATATATATATATATACTACCCAGTAATCTTAAAAATTTAAGAAAATATTCTAAGCAATTTAATATTTTATTGAATTTTTGCTTTATAGCCTTGCTTACGAAGACACTTGTTGAGGAAATTACCTATAAATTTTAACTTTATTATAATTACCACTATTTTCTTATGTGTGTTTGTGTGGATGTTCGTATTTACAAAAATCAACATGTTTATCTGCACATAAAATGAAGTCAAAATTCTTTTTAAAATATTGGGGGGGGGTCAATGAACTGTAGTGAGCTTTCCATTTATGATTAGTAAATACAGTCTTAATAACAAAATCACTTGACCACTGCAGTTGAATACAGAATTATTTATAAGTTTTTAAATGAAAATAAAAACAAAATGAAAACTATTCTTGTAAAAAATTTGGAATTTTTTTTTTCTTATAACAATAGTGTCCATAATATTTTATGCATAAAATCAATAAAAACTTAAATAAGGTTGCCTTATTCCATTTTACAATGCAGAGTACATTTTCTGCAACTGAAGGGTCCTGTTTGACCCCCAGACTTTAATGATTTAAATTCTCTAAGGACTTGCCCTAACTCATATAAACATTAAGTGCTACAAAAAAGAATTTCTTGAGATTAAATAAGTGGTAGGAGGTAATAAATGTTATATATATATATATATATATATATATATATATATATATAATTGCGAATAAGTTCTGAAAGTTTCATTAATATCTGACAACTATTTAATTTTTACAAGAATTTCTTAATCAGTGTATTTTGCCCACTTGGGAATACCAGGTACTGTAAGCTTGGATGTGCAGGTTGTATGATGGATTGAAATTGTTTATTGGAGAGTCAAGTTCCAATTCCAGTTGGGTTTGTTATATTCACTTATGGGTAAATACCCTTGGGAATGGTATGAATCCACCTCTTCTCTCCTCTATCTATGGATTAATTAATAAGACCTTTATCACAAAAATAGAAATGCATGCAAAATACTTAGATTTCGGCATTAAATAGCCCATAGAAATTGATATGCCACTGAATAAAAACCAAACTCCAAAACTTTACTCTTGCCTGTGGTTGTTATTTTAAAAAAAATGGGTTGTTTTTGTTGGATTTGAGTAAAGAATTGCATATGGAGATGTCGATAAAATTTTGTCTTGTTAAGTCATCAGGCACTAAAAGATCGAGTGTTTTCAGATGCCTTATCAGATCTTTTTGGCAATATTGCAATTGGTTGACCAGTCCAATACCTGACAAGCAGATCTGACAACAGTGGCTGCATGAAACAGTTTGGTCCAGGGTTGGTTCTGTAGTGATGTGTCTTCCTCTTGTCCATCAGGTCAGCTCTGAGTTCATTCTTGAAGTAGACAGCTTGATGGACAGTGAGTTGCTCTTGGATTGCAACTAGATCAAACAGCTCTTGATGGTTAAAATGTCAAGTGCTGAGAGATAGCATACAATATAATCTTGGGCAGGCATTGGTCATTTGTACTAGAGGCATGTTCTGCCAGGTGCTGCATCTTCAACAGCATAGCCTTAAAGCTAGTGATTTCTGCTTGCTTCAGTGTTGAAAAGAAAGTTACTACAATTGATATTTAAGAAGCAGAACTAAAAAGTTGCAACTGGAGATAATAGGCAACCTATGATGGGACAATAGGGGATTAATGAGTCACCAGAAATTGAACCCTATAATTTGAATGTCTATATTTCTGAGATGAGGTATTGTAACTATTTATATATGACCCAGTGGATAAAAGCGTTGGTTGAAGTAATCCAGTGACTTGACCCAAAGACTTGTGAGTTCAATATCTGGCCACAGAAGAGCTAAACAAAAACTTGGAGAGTTGAGTTACTAAAGGGAAATAACTGAAAGATCCAGAAAAGGCATGACACATGGAACTAGAACAGTCTACTCCAGAGAACTAAATAAAAGGTTTGGTTCAAAATCCCAATATGTATCACCTGAAGAAGGCTGGCGTATACAATGGCCAAAATGTTGTGAATATGACAATAAAGATGAGGACAATAGCCCAAACAATGTAAATAGTGTAAATACCTATGATTTTTATTTATTTTTTTTAATTGTATTATGAATTGAATAATTGATTGATTAATACCACAGAGCATTTTAATCTTGTAATTATTTTTGTCCAGATCCACAATGGCCATTCACTGGCACGTCCTCCTCTACAGTTTGTGTTTGCTGTCTATTGTGTTTGCTGTGAGTCGAGAGAATTTCAAGACATGTGACCAAAGTGGCTTTTGCAAGTAGGTTCTTATTTTTTTTTATTTTTTTTTATTTTTTAATTAAAAAAAATCAAATGATTTTTCTTTTATAGAAAAAATTACTGCTATTTTCTGATAATGTGTGTGGTTGTTAATATTTACAAAAAATATTACATGTTTATACATGCATAAAATGAAGTCAGAATCCTTTTTAAAATATTGGAGGTCATTGAATTGTTGCAAGCTTTTCCATTTATGATTAGTAAATATGGTCTTACTTTAATAATAATATCACTTGATCACTGCAGGTTAATACAGAATTTTAAGACTTAAAAGTTTATAATGAAAATAAAAAAAGAAAAAAAAAGAAAACAATTCCTGTAAAAATTCATTATTCATTGGAAAATTTTTTCTTATAACAATAGTCCATAATATTTTATGCATAAAAACAAAAACTTTCTAATTAAATAAAGTTGTTTTATTTCCTATTTTATTTTACAATTCAGAGTAGATTTTGTGCAACTGATGTGTCCAAAATTTCCTGATTTAAATTCTCAAAGGACTTGCCATGATAACCAATATAAACATAAAGTGTTACAAATGCTATTAAAAAAAAAATAAAATGATTTTTCTTTTATAGAAAAAAATGCTTACCTCTTGAGAAATTTGTATTAATTTTCACACTGGTAATATCTGTTGGTTTTCACTAAATATTAAGTGACAAGTTTGTTTAACCTTTAGCACTCAGCATTATTAATATTACTTCTCTTTCCACTAAATTCTTTTTCAAGGCCTCTCAATTGCAGTATCATTATTGTTAATTTTACTCAAACTTGTTGTCATAGCAGGATATGACAGCACAACTATGAAATTCAAACACTATTGTTCAGGGATCAGTCACCTTCAGTGGCAGGATAAACTTTTTGTACAGTAAATGAAGTCACATACAGAGTAATAAAGGTTAAATCTGCATTTTTCATTTTTTTTTTTTCTTATTTGGATATAAAAGGTGGCACAAGGCCATTTAACTTTGAATATGCATTGAAGATTTTTAGGATTGCATATAGTTTTTCTATTTCTTAGATTTTGAACATTTTGTTAAAAACTTACAATTATTTTCTTTTTATCCTCCCAGACGTCAGAGAGCCGTACCACCAGGTCACTCCCCTTATGTTGTAGAGTTATCATCAATAAACATGAAGCCATCATGTTTGGAATTAGAAGTTGTAAATAAAAAAAATAATGTTCGTTTTAAATTAGAGCTTTATGCACTGGCCAACAATATGGCCAGAATAAAATTTAATGAACTGTCACCATTAAAACCACGTTTTGAAATCCCTGTAGGAGATGTTTTGGTAAAAGAACCAACATTACAAAGGTAAGGTTTTTTTCATTTCACTTTTGAATTTAAAAAAAAAAAAAAAAAAAATTTTTTATTTATTGAATTTAATTTAATTTTTGTAACCTCTCACCTTTTATTTTTTGATTTATTTTTTTTAAAGTCATGTCAGATTACCTTGTACAGGATTAGGAGGATATGATTTAAACATGTTTAAAATATGAATAAAATGGGATATCAGAAAATTTAGGGATATTTTGATTATTAAAATTTATGAGGTGCTTTTATGAAAGAACACTTCATTCAAATTTTCCTGGCACAGGAAGTGGCTGTAACATTTTTTTTTAGTTTGAAAATAAATACTAAATGTTACTTATGTGAGATTGAGGTTTTTTTTTTTTTTTTTTTTTTTTTAAGTATTGGGACTGTTGCTATGGTAATGGTGCTAAAATACACAGAGAAGCCACTTGACACAAATTGACCTTGAACTCTGTTTCACATGCAGACTGTTACAACATTCTCGCTCCCTTTCATTGTTAACAGCAGTGCTAGGAAAGAAATTGTGTAGAGTGCAGTTGTCTCATCATGCAGTGACCACGGCAGAGAAAATTGAATAAATAATCAGCATCAAATTTTGCCAAAATCTTGGTAATACCTCCACAGAGACCTGTGCAAAATTGCAGAAAGTATATGGAGAGGATTTTACAAGTGGTTCAAATGTTTCCAAGATGGTCAACACAATGTCAACAGTGATGCATATTCTGGGAGGCCTACAATCAGCAGTACTTATAAAAACTTTACAGCTGTGCATGTAGCTTTTTGGAAAGACTATCGAATCACCATGCATGAGTTGGATGATATGAACATTCATAGTTCAGTTTAGTCCAGTCTTGCTGAACATTTTATTATGAGAGTGCCTACTAAGTTTGTGCCAAAACTGCTTTCAGTTAACCAAAAATAAAATCAAGTTTCAGCTGCACAGTATCTCCTTGATTGTGTCAAAGAAGATGATCCTTTTTGAAAAGGGGTCATAACGGGTGACAAATTGTTTGTCTGTGGTTATTATTCTGGAACCAAGGCTTTGTCTTTGCAGTGGAAAGATTAAAACCTCTCTGAGATTGAAGAAAATACAAATGAGTCAAAGTAATATGAAGATACTGTTGATGGTTTTCTTCAACTGCAAGGATATTGTTCATGATGAGTATGCACCAACTGGTCAGATGGTAAACAAGCAATTGCTATTGTGATGTGTTGCAAGATGCTCTTTGTTGATAAAGGACAGAATTGCATATGTCGTCTGGTGAGTGGCAACTCCACCATGACAACACACCTGCCCATTCAGTGTAGCTTATGCAGCAGCTTTGGGTCAAGCACCATATTCCCCAGATATTCTCCTTTGCAGCTTTTTCTTCTTTCCAAAGCTCAAATCCCATTATGAAAGGGCCAAGATGTCAAGGAAATCCAAGAGAATGCAATGAGGTAGATGCTCACTATCCCCCCACCCCAAAAAAAGGAGTGTAGTTTTATTTTTAGAGCATCAGTGTGATACTTTCTGATTAAAACTTGTGTGTGTGTATATATATATATATATATATATATATATATATATATATATATATATATATATATGGTGCAATGGATAAAATTTATATTCTTAATTATGTGGACTATTTTTGGTTTTGTTGACTGCATGGAATAATAGGGTCAGTTGGGCACTGCCTGAGAAAAAGAGCACTATGATGCAATTTACTCTACCAGAAATTTGGAATACACATGCTGTAATGCTTGGCATTTGTGCTGGAAGCTCCAATATGAACTTTTCAGAGTGTTTGGGCGTCAATCTGAAGATAATGCAGAGGATTTGGAAAAAAATTGGATGAGTCTAATGGTGATTACAAAGGTACGGCAGCTTGGAAAACTCTGATTGTTCTGATGAGAAATTCTGAATTTGTTGCTGAGGGTCTCACTCAACATGGAGGCCTACATCAACTGCCTTGAGGAAGTAGTGCTGCACTGGGTCAAGAGGTTGGCTGCTGGGAGACCCTATGTATGGCAACAGGACTCTGCAACTCAAGCAGGAGAACCCAGTCATGGTTGTCAGACAATTTCTGTGACCACATCACCCCTCACATCTGGCCACCTAACTCCCCGGGCTGCAACCCCCTTGATTATTATGTGTGGGGCACAGTTGACTGATAGACCAATAAAACTCCTTGTAATACCAAAGATGAACTGAACACAAGGATTAAGGCAACATTCACCAATTTAAACAGTGTCTGTTCAGAAAAGTTGCAGGAGATTCCGAAGTCGTCTGGAGATTGTACTTGAAGCCAATGGTGATTTTATTGAATAAATTTACTCTTTAGTATTTCAAGATATATTTACCAAAATTACACAATAATATGTTAAAATGAGATGTCAGTGTTCTCTTCATTTTTGTAATTGACAATTTATCCATCGTATTGTGTGTATATGTGTATGTATGTAATATATATATATATATATATATAATCTCATTCAAATATGTTTCATTGAATAATATAGACATATTATATCCATTTTATTTTTATAATAATCCTTTCTACTTCTCTAATAAGTTTCTTGATGTTAAGATGAACTTCATTAAGAAAGGCACCATAGTTTTTTTTCCTGCCCAAATACTTTTTCAGTCTCCTCAGAGATCAATTACAAAGACAAACTTATGATTGTTGTGATAGTGATTTTTAAAAACACGTGTGAACACATTGTTGTAATTATTTAAAAATTTTAAACTTATCTGTTATAGCTATGGAATTTTTGCAAAACAAGCGTCCCAATATAAGAGAGCTTGGTAGAAATGCAAGATAGCATTAAATGTTAGTTAAATGCACTTTAAAACTTTATTGCTACACTCGCAATAATTTTTTTCAGTGTTGGTTGGTTGCTTTTGATATAGAGGGCCTTGAGACTATAATAATCATCCAAGCTATGTTTTTTTACCTGGTGGAATTGTAAATTAGAGATTAGAAAAGAAAATCCAGTGCCTTACATGAATATTATCTGATAGGAAATGTGTTGTCAGTTGTTACTGACAAAGATAAAGCATAATTTTCACAGCTGTGTTTCAAAGCTTTCAATAAATGGTTGTAATTACTCAATGGGCTTGATTGAAACAAGGATAATTTGAATGTATTTTATTACAACATCTATTGGTTCAAAGGAAAGAGTTCTTGAATATCAACTGATTTTGTTTCTGTTGCACGGAACTGTCTGTGTTGAAAGTGACTTTTCTGCAAATGGAGATGTATCATTAAAAGAAACATCTCTCAGCTCAACATCATGTGTATGATGCCAATATAGTCAAAGGGTGTGTCTATTGAATATTGATATTAATACTCAAATGTTGATCTTTGCCATTCTCAAGAATGTCCAAAAGTGTAACTGGGCAAGAGGAGTGGGTGGCATCAGCTGACGAACTTAAAGCAAAAGAAAGAAAAAAGGCAGCTGAACAAATTAAAAACTTTGTAGAGAAGCATTTAAAATTGAAAGAGACAATCACAAAGGGGTTAAGTGACATTGGCAGGGACATTGTAGAACTTACAAAGTCAAGAAAGTAATAAATTTATATTTGTAGTAGAAATGTTACGTTGTATAGGGGTGATGAAAGTTTATATTCTACAATGTGTATTTCTTTGTCCATTAATTTAAGTTCTATTCTGACAGAGCTATATACTTACTACTATTACAAGTTTCAAAAATCAAAGAATTCTACTAGTTTTTAGGGAATTTTATTCAATGCTGGAAACTATATAACCAACATATGTTGGTACAATTAAATAAAATTAAGCAATTATTGTCTGGGTAGCTTTTTTCTTTGTCAATCCTTATAATTTAATAGATGCTGCAAACTATTTATGCATCTGCTCACATGCTTTTAATTTGATTTTATTCTTTTTTTTTTTTTTCATTTCAGTTTGAAATTAGTTTCTCAAGATTCAAATAGCATAATTACAGTATTTGAAAATACAAGGGTGGTAATTACAGCCAATCCTTTTCGAATTGATTTTCTTACTTATGACCAGCCAACTGTCAGCATCAACAGCCAGGGCTTGCTAAAATTTGAATATTTAAGAAAAAAACAGTGAGTATAAAGTTTCTTTTTATCCTGCCCTCCCCTATTTGTTTGTCTAAACATTAACTTGTTTGATTCTTTAACCCCCTCCTCTTCCTCCCCTTCTCCAGAATATTGGGAATTGCATTAATTGTCATGATTGATAATAGGTGTACTAGCTATTCTATTTAGTAAATATAGCATGAATTGCTATGTATTAAGTTTTTTTTTTTTTTTTTTTTGTGTGCGGGATAATCAGTGATTTAATTAGAATTTTGTTTTAACTTTAAGATCAACAAAGATGACACTAGAATCTGCAACCAAAATATCCTCCCTACTATTCCACTTTTGGGAAAACCTAACAAGAAATTCAATTGGGATCATGTGTTGAGATTTGCAAGGTTTACACTTTTTTTTTTTTTTTTTTTTTTTTTTTAATTTAAATAAGGAAAAAGTTGGATGACTTTATAAATTTAACAAGTTTTGCTATTTCTATAGCTTCATCAGAAATTTTTGAAGTAGAATAATGCAAAGTCATTTTGCTTCTTGAATTCAGTGTTTTATTGTTTTCATTGATTATGTATTCATTTTATAGCATTGGTATGTATGTATGAATTTTGTTGTGTGGGCATAGTTTCTCATGGTATTTATGTATGTGTTTAATTCCTGAAATATTAACATAATTTAAGTGTATTAAAAATTTGGTCTATTAGTGTATTTTAATTGCATGAACATTGGAAGTGAATGGGCAACATGCAAATGCTTGGCTTTTTTATTGAAAATTCAGATATATTTAGACTTAATACAAGCGAAAACAATAAGCTATAGCTTGAAGGAATTTACTCTATTACCTGTAATAATTGCCAAAAGAAATACATTGGAGAAACCTGAAGAAATTTAAATAAAATATAGTAACACAAAAAGGATCTTTTACAAAACTACACATTAAATGCATTAGTTTCTCACTCTAATGAAACTAACCACAATTTAGATTAAAAAAAAATGCTACTCTAATTAAAATATAATTCACATAGACGAAAAATGTTTAGAAATTGCTTTAATCACTAGATCATCCAGAGTAAATTTATGTCCAGGATCTTACGTTTCACCATCCTTGGTTGATCTTCTATTATTACGAGGTGGGATAATTAATAAGAAAAGTGATGGAAACATAAAGACAAAACAAAGAAAAAGAATCTAAATGAAATTGGTGAGATTATAGACCCCAAAAGACATATAAAAACAAAATCTTTAAATTTAAAATTCCCAGCATTGCTCATTTGTGCACATGTGTAGTTGTATCAATATAAACATAAACACATTAGTTGCTAGCGTAATTAGACTGACCACAATTTTTATTTAAAAGAAAATGGTACTGCACCTAAAGAAGAAAACAATTTACTAATTTGAAAATATTTAGAAAATGCTTTTAATCCACAGTAAATTGGTGTCTAGGTTCTTCAACTTTTTTTCACTATTTATTAACAGATATTCGATTACCACAATGTGGGATATTTAATAAAAGTAATGGAAACTAAATAAAACAATCTACATGAAATTGATTAAGCTATATATAGCCAAAAACAAGAAATTCTCTTAAATTTAAAATTCTCAGCATCTCTCTTTCATTCATGCGCATGTGTAGTTGCAGCAATGTAGACATAAACTTAGTCTGATGTAGCCCTAAAGGACAAAATGTGTCACAAAAAACTTTTCCACTTTGTCATACATCTTTCCCCTAAAATATATTTTTATATAATGTATAAAACCAGAGTGCAGTGTTGCTCAAACCACAGTGAAGGAATCGGTATTTGCAAAGTGACATTTATAACAAGCCTTTCCAATCCTCATTTGGTTGAAAATCCTAGAATAACAATGTATAGTTCATTAGTAGACACACTTTTGTACTGCATCATTTGTTGCATGTTTGTGATTATTGTGCATTATTATGAACTCTTACTCTACAGTATTTGTTTTTAATCTTCCCGTAAACGTTATTATAAAATGACATTTAAGAAAACATTAAATAAGGACCTACTGTATCTATATAGGTTACAATATCATGGTTGCAACCAAGTGAATCCAGTTTTTATATAAAATGGGATGTGCGGGTGGTATTATGGATAGTTAGTCAGAATGAGAAGTTGGGAAGCAGAGTTAGTTTCAGTCTAGTTAGTTACATTCAATTATGCACAAATATCCTTGGGAAAGGTATGAATTCATCTCTTCCCTCCAGCTATGGATTAAATAGTAGAATTTGTATCTGGAAAAAAATCAATCTCTAAAGAACTTCTTCATACAATATTCACTCAGAATATATTTCAGTTTTAAATAACCCACAAGTGGTTTATAAACCATGGAAAAGCAACTATTTTATTTTATTTTTTTATATTTTTTTTTTTTTTTTTTTTATTCCAAGTAAAGGTAGTAAAGCCACTAAGACAAGGAGTTATTGAGTGTGAAAGAATAAAAAACAAAGAGAAAACATTGAGGAGTGATAACACTAAAAGAGAAATCAAAAAGGCAGTAGATAATGATTGGCATTGTATGCAAATATAATGAATACTTTCATTTTTTTTTTTTTTTTTTTTTTTCTTAAAAGAAAATCCATCTGCCAGTCATTATCTTTCAAACCTTTAAAGGCTGGTTCTCTTTGCTTCTGAAAATGAGCATAAAAGTAAAGCTGAAAAAATGTCTTCAAGAGAAAATGTCAGTTGAAATATGAGGCAAGTTTTAAAAAAAAAACTATCAATTTACTTTCAAAAACAATTGCATGTCACTTTGACTATTGTCTATCACTGAGTACAACATGCCTACAAAAATTTAGCATTTGCCAAAATATTTTTTTACTTTCTATTCCTTATTTCTTCTTAGTAAGATTCACTTAATAAATCATCTCCCTACCCCCTCCACTCAATTATTTGCATTTTGCCTACTTGAGATAATTTATATGGTTTTAAATTCTTACATCATTGTTCTATTTTACAGTTCCTATCTTTTCAGAACTGCAGAAAAAATATAAAACTTATATATATTAACAGAATATATATCAGGTCAATATATATTATGGGATAAGTTCTGTCTGAATTTTGAATAAAGAAAACAAGTGACCAAATGTTAAATTTAATTACAGATTCAATCAATGTATTTTCCCTGATTATCTATGACTTCCTTCCATCTATTAACAAGCTTACTAATTCCATTACTGTAAAAAATTTTTGGCTTTGATTTGAAGAACTCACAAATGTCAGTTTTAACATCTTCCTGTGTTACAAAAGCTGTTTCTTCCAAATGATTCTGTAAGCTACGAAACAAATGGTAGTCTGAAGGAGCAAGATCGGAAGAATAAGGTGGATGAGGAATTTTCTCCCAACCAAGTTCTTTGACCTTTAGTGATGTGATTCTTGCTGTGTGGGGTCATGCATTGTCCTGATGAAACATCATCTCTTTTTGATTCACTAGAGCAGGTCTTTTTTTCCTCAAAGCTTGGTTCAAACGCTCTAATTGCTGACAGTATATTTGAGCATTAATTGTTGCATTAGGTGTTAAGAATTCAAAGTGGATTATTCCTTGGCGATCCCACCAGATTGAAAGAAGAACCTTTTGCCCATGAAGTTCTCTTCTTGGCTGTGGCTGGGGTCCTTCCCCTTTACCAAGCCACTATCTTCGACACTTAACATTTCGATAAAAGATCCATTTTTCGTCACAAGTCTATCCAAAAAAGGTGAAACAAGTTTGCAAGAATGGAGAGAAGAGCAGATGTCAACTCGGGATTTGAGGTTGTTTTCAGACAATTCAAGAGGCACCCATTTTCCAAGTTTAGGAACTTTTCCAAGTTGTTGAAGATGACGATGAACAGTTGTATGGTTTGAACTTAGAACCACTGCCAATTCCTCAACTGATAAAGCAGGATTTTCTTCAAGGGCTGCTTCAAGAAGCTTTTCATCAAACTTAACTGGACGTTCGGTTTGATCTTCATCTTCAAGGGTGAAATCTCCACCTCTGAATTTTGCAAACCATCTTCTGCAAGTTCTTTCCTTCACATATTCCTCTCCATAAACTGAGTGAATGTTTCTAGTCACTTCGGCTGCTGAGTTTCATTTCTTGAACTCATAAAGCATTATGTGCCTCAAATGATTCTTGGGTACTTCCATGTTAGCAGGATTTTAATCAAACAAAATTTAATTTTATTGTTCTCTGAAATGAAATTTGATCAGTTTAAATGCATCTAAACATAAAAATAATGTTCAGCTCCATTAGACATTATAAAATACTCTTTAAATTTCGTTCATTTTAACAAAGTTAAAATTCGGACAGAACTTATGGGATGACTTGATAGTTTCTTTAGCTAATGGCATATTGGGACTTCGTTAAAAATGAGATTTTAACTCTGTAAAAGTAGCTGTAAGTTAATGTATAATATTTTGTTTTATTAATATTGACCATTTTGCTAATTTAGAGACTTTATTTTTAATTTCATTAATTTTATTTATTTCTTAACAAAATTGTAGCCTGGATTTTTACATGGATTATGATATTACACCTTTTCTTATCAGTTTATTATGCTCAGTGTCTCTTATTGATGAATTGATGTGACTAGAAATATCTTGGAAGATCAGTCAATGTTCACCTCATTAAAGTGAAATGTGGAAATAAGTTTATAACAACAATTTGTTATACTTCTGAGACCCTTGAGAAATTGCAATAAAACGAGTTTTATTTTTAACTGGTTGATCTTTCATTAGTGTGGCTCTTTCTGTCAAACATTGTTGTTTGACCATTCTATAACTTAAGCAACATGGATGAGAAATAAAAATGTAGCCTCTGATGAGATTTAAACTTGCAGCTGGTGTGTAATCTATACTATTTATTTAACAAATGTTGAATAAAATCTGAACATTGCAATGAAAATACCATTAAGATGATAGATTTTTTTTTATTAGATGAAAATTCACATAAATCAGATTGATTTATTTATAAAATCAATTTCACAATATTTGAGACTGAGATCAGCTTACATTCAACTGACA